GATGAGGTCTTGCCAAGTTGCCCAGGCTGGTCTGGAACTCCTGGATTCAGGCAATCCTCTCGCGTCTGTCCCTCCAAAGTGCTGGGATAATCGGTGTGAGTCATCACATCCAACCTCCATGAAATTTTAATACTACAGATATGTTGCATATATTTGTTTATATATTGTACATATATCTCTGCTTTGCATGTAAAAAGTGTAAGAATTCTCATACAGGTCTGGAATTAAAAAAACATACAAAATAAAAAGGGTGAGTTTTTTTGTCCCCTCAAGAACCCATTCTTATCTCTTGGCAGTGATGTCCTCACTGAGAATTCAGGCAGTGTAGTGTACTCTTTACTCAGCTTCCTTTAAGGTTAACATCTTACATGACTGTGCAGTACAACTAATAAAACTTATCAACACTGGCATATTATTAATTAACTACAGACTTCATTCACATTATACAAGTTTTACTACTAATGTCCTTTTTCTGTGTATCTAATCCAGGATTCCGTGTTGCATTTAGTTGTCAGGTCTCCTTAATTTAATCTAAACTGTGATGGCTCCTCAGTCTTTCCTTGTCTTTCTGTTTTGTTTTGTTTTTTTTTTTTTGAGTTGGAGTCTCACTCTGTCGCCCAGACTGGAGTGCAGTGGCCAGACTTTGAGACGTTTGAAGAATAATACTGATTAGTTATTTGTTAAGTGTCCTTCATTTTGAATTATTTTGATGTCTTATGATTAGATTGAGATAATATATTATTGAAAAGGATTACACAGAGATAATGTGCCCTTCTCAGAACAGACGACACATGATGATAATCTGTCTTATTATTGGTGATGTCAACCTTGATCACTTGGTTAAGACGGCATTTTTCAGATTTCTTCACTATAAAGTTACTATTTTTTTAAAATTAATAAATATTTGGGGAGAATATTTAGAGACGATGCAAACTCTTGTTTTTCCTTAAGCTTTCATCTGATTTTAGCATCCATTAGTAAATGTCACTTCAGATATTATTTTTGAGGTATTATAATAGTGATTTTCTATATCCCTCATTGCTTCTACATTAATTAATTGAATTATTCTTTATGGAAGATTATATCTTCTGCCCTATTTATTTATTCAGTTATTAATGGTCAGTATAGACCCATCAATGTTTATTTTATTCCTTGGTTTAGAATCCAATATTATTCTTATTTATTTTCTTGCTCAAATTACTTTGGCCATTGGGAACGCTCTCAGGGTGGCTCCTGTACCCTGTCGGCATATCCACATCCTCTTTAAGCACTATCTGACATTACAATTTTCTCTAAAACCAACTTGTGTTCTCTCTGTCTTAGGCTGAAATCAGCTACTTCTTCAATGAGTCATGGTTCCTATTACTGGACACTTTACTAGTCCAGCCAAGCACCTAGATGGTTAGACACCAAAAATCTGTGTTCGATGTATTTCTTGCTACTGAGGTGTCACTTCTTCTGAGTGCTTTCAGTGAACAGAGCTAGGAAGTACATGTGTGTTTACTAACTGATGTATGCACACATCTATGTTTACTTTTGTATTTCTGACTCCAATATAACACCACAAAGTTTATTCTAGCCCTCTTCTTTTCCTTTTTTGTAACTTCATTCTTTGATAATAAGAAATCAGATTCTCATGCAACTTTAAAAAACAATTAAAAAAAGATTTCTATGTAAAAAAAAAAAGAAATCAGATTCTCATTCTCTGTATTTACTTATTTGCTCAATCCTACTATTGTAGGATTATCCACACTATTTTCCAAAGTTACTTAAGTCATCTCCTTTTTTCTTCTTCTCTTCAGTATAGTTATGTGATTAACTTTATTTATTATAGTCAGTTTCATTTGTTACAGTCTGCATTCCATCTTGGATTCCCTTTCCTTCACATCTTGTTTGAGTTTTCATAAGTAATAATTATTTTTATTTCTTATGCTATGTTGAAAAGTCTCATCTGTCACATATTATGTTCATTTTTTTCTCTACTTTCTCTAACATATAATAATGATAATCTCTGGGTCTGCTTCTATCACCATTTTTTTTTTGAATTTCAATATCTTTTTCCTTTTTCTTCAAATGTCTGATAATTTTTATCATATGCTGGACATTGTGAATAATAGATTGTAGAGGTTCCAAGTTATGTTAAATTACTGGAGGATCACTTTGATCTGGTCAAGTCTTGGTTTTAGGCTTTGCTAGGGCAGACTGTTTTATCTTTACCCTTACTCCTATAAGTGATTCCTACCCTAAGGATCTTTCTAGGATCTCAGTGAAAAGCTTGAGGATGTTTATTAAGGTCTCACAATGTTTCCCCAGTAATGTGTGAACTCTGCTTGGTTAACAGCCTTTTATCAGATTTTTTTTCTTGGGCTCCCTAGTCTCACCCTGCAATTGTACAATGTTGGATTTGACCAAGTATCTGAGATAAATTATATTATGGTCATGCACCTCATAATGACATTTTTGACAATGACAGCAGTGGTCCCATAAGATTATAATGAAGATGAAAGATTCCTATCACCTGGTGATGTCATGGCTACTGTAACAGCATAGTACAATGCATTGCTCACATATTTGTGGTGATGCTGGTGTAAACAAACCTGCACTGCGAGCATATAAAGATATAGCACATACAATTATGTATAGTACAAAATGCTTGATAATGACAACAGACAATTATGTTTCTGGTTTATGTTTTTACCATACTTTTTATAATTATTTTATTTTATTTTATTTTTTGAGTTGGGGTCTCACTCTGTCGCGCAGACTGGCGTGCAGTGGCTGCTCCCGGCCACTGTAACCTCGACCCGCTGGGTTCCAGCGATCCTTCCGCCTCAGCCTTCCGAGTAGCCGGGCATGTGCTACCATGCCCGGCTGATTTTTTAAAAATTTATTTATTGTAGAGATGAGGTCTCGCCAAGTTGCCCAGGCGGGTCTCGAACCCGCAGGCTCAGGCAATCCACTCACCTCAGCCTCCCAAAGCGTGGGATTACAGGCTGAGCCACTGAGCTCGGCTTTTATAATTATTTTAGAGTGTACTCTTATATATGTGTATTTAGAAATATATATAACTCCTTCATATGTATAAAGTTAACTGTAAAATAGTGTTTGTGTTTTAAACTGTTATTAAAAAAGTCAAAAAGTTTAAAAAATTTAAAATGTTTATAAAGTAAAAATTTCCAGTAATCTAAGGTTAATTTATTATTGAAAGAAAAATATTTCTAACACTAATTTAGCATAGCCTAAGTGTACAGTGTTTTAAAGTCTGCAGTGGTGTACAGTAATATCTTAGGCCTTCACATTCACTCACCTCACTTACTGACTCACCTAGAGCAACTTCTAGTCCTGCAAGTTCCATTCATGGTAAGTGCCCTATACAGGTGTACCATTTTTTATCCTTTATATTGCATTTTTACTACAACTTTTCTATGTTTAGATGCACAAATAATTAAATTAATCACAGTGTTATAATTGCCTACAGTGTTTAGTACAGTAATATGTTGTACAGGTTTATAACCTAGGAGCAATAGGTTTTGCCATATAGCCTAGGTATGTATTAGGCTAAACCATCTAGTGCACTCTATGCTGTATGAACAATGACAAATTGCCTAACAACACATTTCTCAATGTGTATCCTTATTGTTAAGCAGCACGTGATGGTATCTCTCCCCAGTGGTTCACTTCTGTCTGTTACTCTCTCCTGTATCTTTTCATATTCCTGGAGTCTAAGCACTATCTCTTACCTCTGTTTCTTCCTCTCTGGTTGGACTCGTCTTTCCTGTATAGCAGTTTGAAAAATATCTTTATGGAGAAAACCAGAATGGATGTAGAATTTAACTCTTTTGTTTCTTTTCTCCAAGGATCATAGCTTTGCAATCTGACTTTTTTTTTTTTTTTTAACAAGAAAGCTTGTAGAATCAAGGGATTTCAATTATTCAGCAAGCTGTTGAGAGAAAAGAAACATGCTAGTGATCCTTATCTGATTTGACATAGAACTTTTATAAAGGTCTGTGCAGTTCATTATACAAAGTTTTTATTACACCATTATTACTAGAATCAAAATGATCAACTAAGGCAACCATTCAGAATTACAGATTTTTTCTTGGAGGTTATTTTTGTGTCTAGAATCTTCTTAATCTTATAAAGACCTTTTTGTTCAAACAACACTTCCAAGATCTGATATATATTAAGAAATAATGGGAAAAAAGTTATGAATGTCACAAAAACCTCCAAATTGCATAGGGAAAAAAGATTGATATCCTTTGGAAGTTCTCAATTTAATTGGATTTCTTCACCTGATTTACAATAGAAAAGACATCTTTTTTTTCTTTAAGTTTGGTATTTAATTTATTTTTATTACAATAGCTTTAGGGGGTTCAAATGGTTTTTGGTTACATGGATGTATTGTATTGTGGCAAAGAAGTTTTGGCATTAAGTGTATCCACCACCCCCACCTGTACATATTATATCCAGTAAGTGATTTCTCATTCCTCCCTCCCTGTCCCCTCTCCCTTCTCAGTCTCCAATGTCCGTTGTACCATTTTATGATCTCGTTCTCTCTGATATTTTTTAGGGAAGGAGAATATTCCTTTAACTCTCTTCTAGTATGATTTATTTGGTTGTGAAGATTTGCATTTTTAGAACCAGATTCTGAAATTTTATTCATTAGTGTTATAAGCAAAAATCAGATGTGTAGAGTTCAAATTTAATAAGAAAAATAGAAAAAAGAACTATAGATTTTTTTTACTTAATGACAGTGAATTAACCAAACATATAGCATTTTCCCTTTATGATGATACAGTAGTTTAAAAATGTTTGCTCATGATTTTATGACTATATCCTTTCCCCATTCTTCAATTGGCATACAGCACTTAGATCAAACATCATGATCCTTCCTGGAATTGTGAGAGTAAAGGTCCATGTATAACACATTTGAATTAACTACAACCCAAGTAACCAAAACACTAAATTAACCTGAACATATTCTACTGCTTCACTTTTAGGAAAAACAGAAGCAAATGATACCAAGACAAGCTCATAACAGAGATCGAACCACCAGATGTGTACGGAGAAAAACACAGGTACAAATGAATTTCTTATAGCCTTTTTTGATTTGCATGTAAAGTATTACATTATAATTATTGGTATTTAGAAGGTCACAGTAGAATGTAGAATCATCAAAAGACTGAACAATCAGATGTCCAATAAGACAAACACTTTTTAAGTATGTTTAGGTGTCTCACAGTATTCTAGGTTTGGAGAGTAGAAATATGAAACAAAATTTTCTCTGCCTCAGAGGAACTATGACCCAAACCACCATGTGAACACCATGTGTTCATCCTTGGCAAACTCATGTACCATGCACAGCGGAACAGCCATTCATTGAAAAAGAGACTTTTTTGCTTTATATCCTCAAGCGCTACTCAGGAGAGTCCTTCCATCTCTTTCTCTTAATGAAATCTAGCCAGTCTTCTGAGAAAAAGGCTTCATTGATTAGCCTCTCAAGTGGGAGTCATTTTACACTTTAAGTAACTCCAGGTTTGAGAATGGGGTCAGTGTCCTCCCCATTGCCACTTTCAGGCCATTATGACTTCGCTCTCTAGTTAAACCACTGCTTTGTCCTCAATTCCTTATGGCAGCCTTCACCTGGCTTCTACATCACTCTTCCTCCTTTACTGATGATTTTGTTACTGGACTCCCCACTCCCTCTCTGCTTCCTCTCCATCCATCAACTTAGATGACTTTAATATTTATGTGAATGAACTATTCACTGCCCCAGTGAATTGTCCACTCTACTCATCCATCTTTGTCATGCCGTGTGTGACCTTTGCCAATACTTGAAACTATTCCATCAATCAAATTTTGTAAACATCTAGCATCTCAGTCACAACCGTCTTTCAGCTTGCTTTAAGTATCCCATTACAGCAGATCCCAATCATGAATGAATCTACCTATCTTCTCTGTGTCTACATCCAGGCTGCTGAGAACAAGTGGAGAAAGATACAATGGGGCAGATATGTACCACCACAAAGTAGTGGTCAGTGACCTCAACTAGACACACAAAACTGCCTGTAGCCTGGTCTCTATATTTTTGCAAAATCTCTTAGGATTTTGCAAAAATTCTATTCTATTCTTCACCATTCTATTCTATTCTTCTCAAATCTCCAACTCTCTCCTTCTCGGCTGATAACCTTGCCTCCTATTTCACTGAAAAAAAAAATGCCTGAATGAAATATACAGCCAACTATTTTCCCTCTTCCAAGAGAGGCCAATCATTCTACAAGTGCTTTGCATTCTGTATCCTCGGGTTTTCTCAAGAATGTTAATTATTTCTTCTCTTTCTGATTTTATTTCAATTTCTTCATTTTTTAAGATCCTTCCCATCAGCACTTATGCATGCTCTAAGCAGTTTTATTATTACAAACAACCAGATCGACAAACCAACCAATCATAAGCCTACCCTCCACAAAATATACTTTGCAAACCACGTATTTCTCTAGTTACCAACTCTTTCTTTTCTCCCTCTAGTCTCAAACTTCTGGGTTGAGTTGCCTGTAGTTTCTCTCTCCAAATTTTTAGCCACTATTCTCACCACAAACTCTCAAATCTAACTTGTTTCAGCCACTCCATAGGAACAACCCTTGCTAAAGTCACCAATTATTTTCATACCACTTAATGAAGTATACTATTATAGTCCTCACTCATACCATACTAACTCTGAGAATCATTCTACAAAGCTGACCACTCCTTCTCTTGAAACACTCCTTCCCTTTGGTTGCCATGATATCACACATTCCTAGTTTCTCTCCTACATCTCTCTGTTCTTTATCCTTTGCCAGTCACTTTTCTTCCACATAACCTGTAAATGTAGCAGTGCCCCAATGCTCAGTCAAAGCCTGGTTTTATTCCACATTCTGCCACCAAGGCAATCCCATCCGTCTTTATGGTTTTAGTTTTCACCCATACTTCATCAACTTTCAAATTCTATCTCTAGTCAGATGTCTCCTTTGAACTGTCCATGTGGCATTTCCATCTAGATTCTTTCAAATACTTCAACTCGAAACTGAATTCATGCTTCTTTTCCCCCAAGTCTTCTTTTCCTCCAATAGATGCTTTCACCACCTACCTAGTTGTTCAAACTGTATCTCATGGATTCACCCATGACTCTTCCTCGTTACTACTCCTCATATGTGATTAATCACAAAGTCTTTTTGATTTTACTCTTGAAATACTTTGTCACCACTGTTATAATTTACATAGCCTCCTGGAATAGCCTTCTAGTAGACCTCCTTGATTTAATGGGTTTTCATCAATTTTCCCCAAAGCTATAGATGTGAACTTACAAAAATGCACATCTGATTATGACATATTCCTACTTAATACCTTTCTGTGGCTTCCCCTCCCTTCTAGTATTGTTTGACTTAGTAAGCGTGTCAGGTCAATAACTCAGGTCAAAAACCTCTGGTTTCCTCTCCAGCTCATTCTGCTCCACTTTCCTTCTTACATACAATGGTGCATTTACACCAACTTTGTCATATGTCCTCAAATGCACCCCTCTCTCAGAGCCCTCTGTCTCAAACACTCTAGGCCTCTCCTCTCTCTGTGGCAGTAACTTTAATTTGCTCTTCAACTTCTTTCCTCCAGGAACCCTTCCTTGACTTACCCTGGTTAATCAATTTCGTTCAATGTAAACTTATTGCCCACGTGCTTTTTCTTCAAGGCACCAATCACAACTCTAATTATGTGAATATTTCTGAAGATGGTACTTTAATGTCCTCCTTGCTAGAATGTGCATTCCCTGAGGCCAGGGTCTTTGTAAATTGTCATACTGTCAGGGACTAACATTGTGTTTGGCTTATCATATGTGCTTAGCAACTGCTTTTTGGAATGGATGGATGATTTTACTATAATATGGTAAACATAAAGATAGACATATATAGATTGTAAAATGGAACAAAGATAAATGACACTTCATTCAACTGAGAAAGTTTACTTGTGTAACTGCTACTGGGTGACTCAGAAGGTGGTCTTAGACACCAAATTTGGGGAAGGGGTATCTTACAGCAATACAGTGCTTATTTCAACTTGTGTCTCTGGCCTACCCTCTTATCTCTCAAGGACTGGAATCCTTGGAAAACCCAAGGCAGATTTGTAGCTATCACCATCCACTAGTTGTAGGTAGAACGAGTTATTGGCCCATCAGGTAATCTGAGTTCTCAAGTCCTCTGCTGTGACCATAGACCAAATTAGCATTTAGAGTTTTCTTTTTTTTTTTTGAGTTAGAGTTTCCCTCTGTCACCCAGGCTGGAGTGCAGTGACACACTCACTGCTATCGCAGCCTCGACCAGCTGGGCTCAGGCAATCCTTCCGCCTCAGCTTTCCAAGTAGCTGGAACTACAGGCGCACGTTACCACTCCCGGTTTATTTTTTTATTTATTGTAGAGACAAGGTCTCAACAAGTTGCCCAGGCTGGTCTTGAACATCTGAGCTCAGGCAATCCTTTCATCTTGGCCTCCCAAACTGCTGAGATTACAGGTGTGAGCCACCATGCCTGGCCTCTTTTCTTTTTTTTATTTTGAGTCAAAGTCTCACCCTATTTCTCAGGCTGGAGTGCAATGGCATGATTACAGCTCACCACAGCCTTGACCTCCTGGGCTCAGGAAATTCTTCTGCCTCAGTCTCCTGTTTAGCTGGGACTACAGGCACACACCATCATACCAGCTAATTTTTTGATTTTTTGTAGAGATGAGGTGTTGCTATGTTTCCTAGGCCATTCTTAAACTCCTGGGCTCAAGTGATCCTCCTGCTTCAGCCTTCCGAAATGCTGGGACTATAGGCGTGAGCTACTGTGTCTGGTCTAACATTTAGGTTTTTCTATAAAACAATACAATCTGGAAGATTGGTTGTCTTCCTCATTATTCAGGGAAAGATTAAGAAAGAGAGAATTTGTTTAATCTACGTAGGTGTACATTCAAAATCCCATCATTTTCATAGCGAAAAACACCTAATCCTTATTTCTTGCATCATAAACACTGGATTAAGAAAGGACAATAATTATAAAATCTAGCACACCTTGAAATAATATTGCTTTTTATGGAGAGACCATTTTATGCTAAAACCTAAATTCTTAAAGTAGCCCTTCTAGGAATCTGAATAAAGCAGCCTGAATCCTACATAACCTCTCAGGGAACAGAAGCACTTGGGGATTTTTAAGTCGCATTGAATCCAATCAGGGTCAACATTCTTTCATTGAGTGGGTAGTGCAGCAGAACCCTAAGGATTCAGGCAGAAACCCTGCCCTCAAGATATATATCACATTATTGTAACATACCACAAATAGAAGAATGTACAAGTTATAGAGATAGCCCAGAGGTGGGACTAATTCTTTTACAAGGTAAGATCTGAGCTGGGTTATTAAGGACGAATAGGTAGGTGTTCACCACAAAACCATGATGGAAAAAAGGCATTCAAGGTAAAGGGAATAGCATACTCACAGGTACATGTTCTGATCACAAGATAATGCTTCTGGTCTTATCCCAGGGAAAAGTGGTGTGGGAGGTGAAGGAAAGGTGGACAGGGACCAAATCATAAGGGGTCTTATGTGCCATACTAATTACGAAGCACAGACTTGGTTCTGTAACTGAGAGGACCCTTGAGGTTTTTTTACTAAGGGAAGATATGATAAATTTTGCATTCTCTCCAGGGCAGTGTGGAGGACAGGTAGGAGAAAAATGAGTCTAGAGACAGGGCTGGCTTACAGATATATGAGGAGACCAGCTGGACCCTCTTGCCCCCTGAGCCTGTAGAAAATTGTGGGATTCATGTTTATTGCAGCATTATTCACAATAGCAAAAGCATGGAACCAACCATGCTGCCCATTGAAACTGGACTGGATTTTTAAAAATGTGGTGCATATACACAATGGAATATCATGCTGCCATAAAGGACAAACATGGACTTCGCAGCAAGTTGGATGGATTTAGAGGCTATAATACTGAGTAATCATAAAAACAAAGAACAGAGTACCACTTGTTCATAAGTGGATCTTGAACAATTATCATATACTATAAGAAAGGGACTG